AATAGCAAAATAAGATGTATAATAAATATAGAAACGATGTTATTATATACTCCATTTTGTTTATTAAACCATCTAACAAGTAAATGGCGGATCCACTAGGAAGACGTGAAAAAAATTTTTAAAAAAAATAATAACGTAGATATCGACACGTTTAATCTGTGATTAATAAATGCGAAAAAACTTTAAGGTTGAAGATACGGGAGATAAACTCCATTCGATTTTTAAAAATTTCAACGAATGCTTAATAAAAAAAACAACATTGTATGGCTTTTTCTATATATTATTTTTTGGCATTCTAAGAAAAAAAGTAACGATACTTACTTTTACTTTTATGTTACTTTACCAAAAGCACTGCATTTGCGTTGTGTATTTTTCATTGAATTCTCATAACGGGATCATCCCTATATTGGGGTAAAATTTTGATATTTCTTAAGTAGATTATTCCCAATATTTAACAGGTCATAATGCCTAAACGATAAAATATCATTATCAGTAGATAAAGGAAGAGGGAACAAAAAAAAAGTATTATTATTAAGTCAAAATTATTTATCTCTTTCCCCGCCGATGTATCATAATAAAATATTGTTCATGGTAAATTTCAATTCATAATAAAAAAAATAAAAAATAATTGATTTTAAAAAACGAATGAAAAAAATGAAAATAATTTCATTATATTATCATTAAATTTTTTTCCAGCCCTCTTCGCCTTTTAAAACTGGGTAGGGTAGGTAAAAAAAATTATCGATTTCTTCCCTTCAATAAACCAGATAAAAACCGTTATTTTTTTAAAAAAAAAATACCGTGTTCTATATCAATTAAATTTAAAAAAAACTTTTTTTTACCAGATTAGTAATAGAAATCGAGTAATAATTAAAGGTCTGCAAAAGTAGGCCCGACTCGTACCCGGCCCGAATGTGCATCGAATCTGGCCGGGTCGAGACTAATTTTTTTTAAATTAGGGCCGGGTCGGGCTTAAATTAGGAAATAAAATGGACTTATTTTTTAAAAAAAAATTGCAAGAAACAAGGCCCCAATATTTTTTATTTGTTTGTTAGAATGATAAAAACCAGATTATGTTCAATTGTAAAAATGTAAAACTATATTTTTTTTAAAAAAATTAATTTCTATATTTAAATAAATTCCCGGGCTAATCGGGCAAATTTTATTTTCGGTCGGGCTTTTAGAGACAACTAAAAAAAGTCAGTTTCGGGGTCGGGCTGAGCCGGGTTCGGAAAATTAGATAATCCTCTTACAAAAAATGTAAAATTATTAAGTTATGGACCGGGGTTGCCAGACCTCCCGATTTTCTGCTCTTGATTACGCCAAACACGCCACCTATTAATTTATCTCTCGATATCTTACGCACCACCCCCCCCCCCTTCATTCCTTTCTCACGATTTTTATTTTTACAAATTTTGTATATGACTTTAATAATTTTTGATTAGTTACGTAAAATTTTTTACTAGTTGGATATTTCATTTTTTTTAAAAAATTTTATACCATATATTTATACACAAATTATGGAGATTTAAACGAATGAGTAACATTAGTTAACAGAAAAAAAAATTAAATCGCATTACCTATACCGGAACCATAGTCGGATTAAAGAAGAAGAAAAAGAGAATAAGTTCAAATGCAATTTACATAATATGCAATCACAAAAATTAAATGGCAGCCATAGAGAAGTCCAAGAAAAAAACATTCAACGAGACAAATAAATATATGTCCACTTTAATAAATAAGGAATCGCCAAATAATATCCAACCCTACTTTAATAACATTTAATGTGATGATAATATTGCAATAGTCGAAAAGACATTTATCTCATTAATCTCAAGATGAAACATTCGCTTAGTTATTTATCTATTGCATTTCAGACTTATAGCTTATCATCCTTTTTGATTCAAAAAATAACCAAAAACATAAAATGTGGAGCCTCAAAAATAGCGTCTCAAATATTCTCTTGAAACTAAGAAACACATCTTAGAGGATCTGAAGGGAAATCACATTTTCTATATCAAAGCATTCATCAAATAATAGAATTAAAAAACATTCCCAATAATCAAGCCCTTTCATTCTGAAATGCAACAGCCTTTTGCGCCGATAACGCGAGTGTGAATTTGGGAAAAATGTAGAGTTTTGTTTTTCACGCCACGAGGGATATACGTTTTAAAATTCAATATTTTAGTTATTATATTTAGTATTTAGGAAAATAATTACAAAATAAAATAAATAATTTCAGACACAAATCACGTGAATTAAATGCCTCACCCCCCCCCCCACACTTTCCAATACAGTTTTACATCGTTTTCTAGGCCAATTATTATATTAGCTATAAAGTTTATTTTTTTTTAAAAAAGAAAAAAATATTATAAACCAATAATCAATAAAGAATCTTATATTATATTATTATTAGGTTTATTATATATATTTTTTTTAGAAATATTCAAGGTTAATGTGACGGACAACACTATGCTTTTAAAAAACGTGATTTATTTATGAGGGAAATAATGACAACTATTATTTTAATTTGTAGGTTAGTTCATTCCACGAGGAGTGAGGAGAGATGGGGATATAAAAAAACGAAGCCCTTGCAGAAAATAATAAAAAGATGGCACCTTTTGGATTTAAAAGGAATGTTATTGAAATTGCTTCCAATATATTTAAAAACTTATTGATTCAAAAAGAAAATTGTAATTCTCTTTAAAAAAATTTATTCGTTTTTTTTTTCGTATATGAAATCAAAAAATAATTGGACTTTAGGTATTTTCAATAGCAGGTTTTAGCGCTAATAAAAGTAAAATAAAAATAAATAATATCTGATTTTTGAGAAATAGTTATCATCTAATAATACGAAAAAAAAATTGAATTTAAAAATTATATTATAATTTAATATTTTTGTGGTCATTTCTTATCCAATAATTCATTATATTTGTAAAAAAAAAAAAAGTATTAAGTAAACTTATATTAGCTGGCCTTGAAAATCTATAAAAATTTTATTTATACATAGATAAAAAATTTTTTTTAAATATATGTGATTTGATTTCGGTTTAAAACCATGATCTGGACCGAAGGAGGGTGTTTTTGCAAGAAAAAAAAAATTACAACATATATATTTTATCCTTTTTAATAATTACCTGTCAAATGCCTTTCCTATGCTTTAGCGATTTTGAAAAGGCGTTTGATAGCCCAGAAATTTAGAGCAAACGGGGCCTTAGTAAAATTGGTGTCGACGAAAGGTTAATTATAATTATGGCTGATTTTTTGCCAATATTATGACCTAGTTATAAATCAAACAAAAATATGTTAAGGATTGGGTTGATTGCGGTAAATAAAATCAGCCTATCTTTTTGGATGGGTTTTTGATAGGCAAAACCGATCCAATTTTGAACAAATTTTAAATCGTTCTATTCTAAATGCATCCTTTAAAATAATATTTTATAACAAGTTGTTAAGTTATATCGATATTCTTAAGATATAAAAAAAATAGCTGCCAATCTCGTATCATTTCTGAAATAAATACATTTATTATTAGGTCATTTCAATATCGGCAAAAATATCGGTAGTTCTAATTAAAATGGTTATATGTCTTTATGCAAGGTTACATTTATGCGAGAGTAAAGTGAGACGCAGACTTAGTTAGGCTATCAAGAATCTGTGTTGAGCACTCTCTCCATCATAATAATTAACATTTATAAAAGATATATGACAAGGGCTATGGAAAATCATGCAAGTAGGTGATTTAGTCCTAATCAAATTAAGCCAAACAGAACGACTTGCCAGACTAGCCCAATGGAGTAACACTTTGGAAGAAAAGGGTCTAAAAATAATTTTTCCCAAAACTAAAATACTGATAAATAATAATACCAAAAAATATGGTATGATCCTAGACATGTGTAGCTAGCTTATCCAAAAAATGTTCGAAGGAATTCTATTCAATGTCGTGTATATAAAAACTGGATTTGTAAAAAATGTTCATGGAATAAAGGTAAGATGTTATGAGATATAAACTTTATCCGGAAGAGTCACATCAACAATAATAATATCACTGTCCCAATGAGCAATATTTTATGAGGCATAAATATTATAAGTGGATCAGTCTTGTTACCTATATGATATGCTTAATAACCAATGTCACAGAGAATTAGATGTACTTGGGAAAAGTTCCTTAAGCTATCTCCCAAAATTGGTATTGTATAGATTTCTGACCTTCTACAAGCACATCAATTGAGGGGAAAGGGCAATGTCCATCATAAAACAAATTGGTTAAGAAAACAACAATGTTGGAAATAGGTGTGGCAAGAGGTCTGAAGGAAGACTCAAGCAAAGATTGGCAAAGGTATTGAAGAAAAATCTACATTTTACTAGCTTAAATTTGTCTGAAGTATCCAATAGAAGACTATGGAGAGCCTGTTTATAAAAACAAGGTCTAACATTCTGTAAAGGAGGATAAGCCTTTAAATCAATGGTGATGATGATGAATTATTAAATTAAATATAAATCATTTAATTAACCTTTATTCTTTTTAAATAATTATTATCTAATAATGTGCCTTAATAACATATAATTGTAATAATATATCAAGCAAAATGGTGGAATCTAACATATATATTGGATCATGCCTTAAAAAATGGAATATCTAATGAACAATATGTTCAATATAATCTTAGTAATCTGATCTATTTTTTAATATATAATAAATTTTATTTATTTTGTTATATATAAGAATTTTTTCAAAAAACCAAAATAAAAATTGGTAAGACAAGTCTAGTTTGGTTTTATATTGTGGCCTGCAAGGTCTTTACATTATAGTTTATGGTTCAGTATTTAAAAATTGGTTTTAAACCAACTATAACCTTCACTAGATTTGATTCATTTTTAATATTAACATAATAATATCATAATTAAGTCTGCATTATCATAAATTTATGTTAAAGCAATATCCTTATTTATTATATTAATAAAAGATAATGAAATATATTAAAAAAATAATTGGTAACCTATCCCACAACCAAGTATTGTTCGTCCTATAATAAGTGACACCTCTGAAAGTGCGAATGCTAGACACATTGATCCAGAAATAAATATTATGCTGGCTATCATAATGGTCATTTTTCTCCCAATAATATCATTTAAAATTCCTCCAATTAATGCAAATATTATAGCAGCTCCTATTGTTGCACTTACAATTGTTTCTTGCCATAAACTATTTAAATTAAAATTATCTTTGAGAAGGAGCATTGCTCCTGATATAACGCCGGTATCATAACCAAATAGAAACCCTCCGATAGCTGCAAATATTGTAATAATATAAACAAATTTAGGCGTTTTGCTTTTAGCATTGTCAATTAATAAACTGTCTTCTGCATCTGATATATTATGAGATGGTTTATGTGATAGTGGGTAAATTTTAGATAAAGAGGATTCTGGGTGTATATGAGCACCTTTTGACATTAGTAAGGCTATTGTTTAATTTATTTTAGAGCATTCCGTGATTTTTGGTAAAATATTCAAAAAAAATAAAAGAATGAATGAATGCTAATTATAAAATCCCATATGTGAAAAATTTCTAAATAATATTAATCATATTGTTAATTTAAATTTCAAAATATGCAATGCAATCCGTTGACTTGGCAAGAATAAATTGAAATATATAATAAATTTTTAAACAGAATATGTATTAAATTTTTAAACATAATATTTTATATATTTTTAAACAGAGTATGTAATAAATTAATTATATTGGTTTAAAATTTATACTAAATATTAGTAAAGTTTTGGGATGTCTCTAGATTTATTTTATAATCCTTTTAATATATCTGTTATATGTGGTTATGGGAATCTATATGCCTTGCATTTTACGTAATAAATTTAATCATTTTTTTGAACTAACTAGACTATAATAAAATTTTGATAGATAAATTAATTCAATAGAATTTTTCAATCAAAATGAAATCAGATATTTCTTGGCTTGAATTACATAGTTCAGTAAAATTAAAGCTCTAACAGTGGCCCCTATAACGAGATGAGGGTATGGTCAAAGCATGCTTCTTAAAATTTGATGGGGGTACGTTTTATAAATATTTCGATTTTTATTTTATTACACCAATCCATAACCAATTTCTTGTCTTATAAAAATATTTTCACAATTTCAACATATGCCCAAAAATATTATTCAGAAAAAAAGCAAATGCTTAATTAATAATTGGTATAATATAAGAGATGATAAATAGAGAGACAATAATAGAAAAAGACATGGTAGGCAAAGTTTCACGATATAAAGAAAAGCTTCAATTAGAGATAGTAGCTTTAAAAGACATAATCAAACAAATTGTGGATTCAAAACCTGTCCTTAAATAGTATATTCAAAAAATTAAGAAAAAAGAAGGGAGAAAAAACAAAATGATATTATAATCCAAATTATATTCTTATCTATTGTCGTATAGTAATATAAATATTCTCATTGAAACCATGAAAAATATGGTTATATAAAAATTAAAAAGAGGTTGAATTTAACAGGTGTATTTCAAATATAGTAAATGGTACATATATTATCAAATTTTTTAAGGTTAAATATTTTTTTTTCGTTTTATGAATCAGAAGCAATAGCCTTGAAGACATATTGAAAATGATAACACGACTGGTGATACCGCAATTTTTTAGTTTACTCGCAGATATCTCTCTCCCGCAAAACTACCGTGATTGGAAATTTCCCGCAAAAATCTACCGCAATTTTTTAATTTCTCCTGCAATTTTTTTTATAATTTTAACATTTTTAATATATAAATAATAATTTTGAGAGACATTAATTGATGATTTTTATATTTTTAAATATTTAAAAACATGTCTAATTTGTAAATTTCTTTCTATCCTGTTTTATTTTTATCCAATAATAAATCAATATCATTTCATTCATATAAGTCAGTACAGGGGAGTATATCAAAATACAAAAATATTCTCAAATAATAAATAATACAGATGCAACTACATTTGCGGAAATCGTATACATCTATCATGTAGTTCAACATTCACAGAGCTATATCATCACAATGTGGGTCGAATATTTTTTTCATGATATTTAACAACTCCAATATAAGCGCAAACCTTACTTGTGGCAAGCAAGGCTATCACATTCACAAGTTATTTAGTACCTGAATCCTAGAGGTCAATTCTAGACGATTTGAAAGATGGGCATCCATATGAAATTCTAACAGATACATCTAATAAGGAAAATATTAAAACATTTCCCTCGATACTTCGCTATTTCAACAAGAATAAGAACATTTCCATAAAACTGTTAAAAAATTTTCCTCGGATAGTGAAAAATCCAATGATGTAGCTAGCCACATAATGGTAAATAGGGTTATCAATGATTAGCATGTCAGCTTTCTGCGCTGATAATCCCTCTGTAAATTTTGGCAAAAACCAAAGTTACCGAATTGAGGCAGCACAATTGAATTAATACCAATTGGCTGTATATGCCATATACTACATAATTCTTACAAGAGCAATGAATGTACTATCTGTGGATGTCGAAATAATTGTGATGAAATGCTTTAACGAATTTAGTTCATCAACTAAAAGAGTTAATGAATTAAAATAGTTGGTGAAGTGGTCTGACTTGGAATGGTGTGAGTTGTTGCGATATATACCTATCAGGTGGTTGTCATTAATACTTGCCATCGATATAATTTTAAAATTTTACAAACCCTTAAAAAAATACTTCTTAAATAGAGATTTTAAAAGCTGTCCTAAAATTTTGAAAAATCAGAAGCATATTTAAGATTCGTTTCACAAGTAGGAAATCTACTTCATGCAGTTAATATTCAGTTGCAATCAGAATATTTTTTATTTAAAAAGATTCACAAAATCATGCTACAGCTCTGTTCATCTCTACAGTTAAGAATTGATAATAAATATTATGCCGCTATTGCTAAAAATATTATATTAAAATGTTCAAATAATACTCTAATTAATACATTTTTAAATGATGCAGATATTTTTATTAAGACAATTTTAGAATATCTACAATCAAAATTTGATTTTAATAACTCTATTTACAAATGTATAAATATCATGAAACAGAAACCATCAATTGATGGTTTTTATAATTTAATAAATATATTAAAAATGCCGAAAGATATTGATGTCTTGTTTGAGGAGATTGTAATTCTCTCTATTTTTTATGATTCGTCAAAATACTTAAAGATAAATATTCTAAAAGCAGAGGAGAAATGGGTTAAAAAATTTCGTAATAACGATAAATCCCCATGCTTGAAAAAAATATGCGAGTATGTCTTCTCCTTACCTCATTCTAATGCCTCATTAGAGCACATTTTTAGATTGATGAGGACTGCCTGGAAAAAGGAGAAAAATCGGATTGCTTTAACAACATTAGAGGTCGAGCTAATGGTTAAACAAATATATAATATGTCATGCCAGGAATTTTATAAATATCTCAATAACGACGGTAAACATTTAATTCTATTATTTAAATCTCAAATAAAATATAAATAAGTTTTAGCAAAGGCCCCTTAAAATTTATTGTGAATTTTTAACTGTAATGATGATCACATCTGTAGCATAATTTTGTGAATCTTTGTTAAGATTCTTCAGATTGCAACTACACATTAATAGCATGTAGTAGATTTCCTACATGTGAAATCATTCCTAAATATACCTCTGCCATTCATTATTGAAAAAAAATTTCAAAATATTAGGACAGCTTTTATAATCTTTAGAAATATTTTTTTAAAGGTTTATTAAATTTTAAAATTCCGATGGAGGGTATTAGGAACATATCGCAACCAACATTGTGCTGACTCAATTCTGTAAATACACTCTGTTTTTACCAAATTCACTGAGGCATTATCAGATCAGAAAGCTGACATGTAATATATTAATAATCTCAAATCTGCTATATTTACCTTTATAAGGTTAGCTATGTCTTTAAATTTTTCACTATTTGAGGGGAAAAAATTTAATAGTTTTATTGAAACGACCTTAATTTTGATGAAATAGCGAAGGATCGAGGGAGATATTTTAATATTTCCCTTATTTTATGCATCTGATAGAATTGCATATGTATGTCCATCTTTCAAATCGTCAAGAATTGACCTCCTGAATTTAGGTCATAAAACATTGATGATAGTTTTGCTCATTTTTGTTCTACAAGTATAGTTTTTATTTATATTAGAGTTCGTTAAATATTATGGGAAAAAAATTCTACCAACATTATGAGGATAAGTATCTCTGTGAATTTTGTAAAGATAAGTGTTTACAATTGCCGCAACTGTAGTTGCATCTGTATTATTTCTTATTTTTGGAGTACCTTATTATGTATTTAAACGTGATACGTGATAATTAAATCCCTATAATGTTATACACACACGGTAGATTTCCAATTGCGGTCGTTTTACTGGACATTCGCATAAAATATATTTTTAAAAAATTAAAATCGTTTTTTATATAAAATTTTATCTTGTTTACACTCTTTTATATTTAAAAAAGATCATTGGTTTTTTTTATAAATTAATATATTTTAATAAACCAAGATGTTATTTTATTTTGAAAATACCGACTTTGTATTTATATAAACTAAATAAAAAATAATAGGCGAATAATTAAATCAATTCAATTTCCCGGCCGAAGGGCGGGTTTGCCCGCAAAATTTTTTTTAGCAATTTTTATATTTCTACCGCAATTTTTATATTTCTCCCACATAATATCAAAATTATCCCGCAATTTGAAAATTTTGGCCTAGCAACCCTGATTAAGAATATCACTCAATAATAATGTCTTAATATATATCTTTCGGTAAAAGTAAATTGTATACAAAAAACAGTTGTATATTATTTCAACAAGAAAATTGTCATATATATTGGGTAGGGGGGGGGGAGGGATTTTGCGCATTCATTGTTATTTTTTTTTGTTATTTTGTCAAGTCATCATTATCAAAATTAATATATTTTATTTAAATAATTTTTTCAAATTGTAAAATCTTATTACTAAATCGTTATATTATTGTTTTTGGAAAATAAAATTATTTGATTTAAAAATATGAAATTAAATACAAATTAAATCATATCCCTTCTGAAAATATTTATTACTGTTAATATTAGCAATTAACGAGTAAGAGATACTTAATATTATATTGGTTTTATGTTGGTTTATGTGTTTTGTGTCTAAACGTGTGGGTTTTTTAAAAGGGAAGTACACGGTTTGTGTAACTTATAAAAGTGTGCGGATTAAAGCAAAACCTAAATACATGGAAGTGCTGCTCGTTTTTGCCTATTTTTTTAACAATAAATCTTATCGTATGAATGTGCTATCCATTTTAATAGTCTGTTACATGGGCGCTGCCCAATTTTTGTCATATAGACCTGGTACACAGAAGTGCTTTTCTTAAGAGAAGAGATAAAGGGAAAGAAAAGGGGAAAGGAAAAAAATGAAATAAAAAGAAAGGGGTAATAAAGGAAAAAAAAAGAAAAAGAAAGGTTATAATAGAATTCAAGGGGAACTGAAGGGAAATAGAAGGAAAAACGAATATGGAAAGGAAATCAAAAAAAAGAGAGAGGGGAAAGGAAAAAGGGTTATGAAAAGTTGAGGATAAGATAAAGGGTAGGAAAATAGAAAAAGTAAAATAAATATGTAAAGGAAAATAAAATAAAAAGGTAAGAACTGGTAGAAGAAGAAGGAAAGTGGGAAAAGAAAAAGAGCTAGGAAAAGGAGAATGAAGAAAAAAGTAAAGAAAAGGGGAAAGAAAAAGAAAAGGGAAAATAAAATAAAGAAAAAGGGGAAGAAAAAGTGAAAAAATAAATAAGTAAAAATAGGAATAGGGAAAGAAAACGGTAAAGGAAAGTGGAAAGAAAAAAAAGGGATTGGAAAAATAAAGAAAGATAAAAATGAGGAAGAATAAGAGAGGAAAAGAGAAGAAAGGGGAATGTAATAAGATAAATTAAAAGAGAAAGGAAGGAAAACAGATAGAAGAAAGGAGAAGGGAAATGAAGCAAAAGAGAAAGGAGAAGGGAGAAGGGAAAGGAAAATGAAAAGAGAAATGAGGAATATGGAAAAGAAATTAAAAGGGAAAAGGAAAAGGAAAAAAGGAAAAGAAAATGGAGAAAAAAGGATAAAAAGGAAAAGGAAAAAGAAAAATGGCAATGAAAAAGAAGAAAGGGAAAGGAAAGGAAAGAAAAGAAAAGAAAAGAAAAGAAAAGAAAAGAAAAGAAAAGAAAAGAAAAGAAAAGAAAAGAAAAGAGAAAGGCGAAGGCGAAAGGAGAAGGAAAAAAAATGGTAAGGAAAGAAAAGGGAAAAAAGGAAGAGAAAGAGAAGAAAGGGGAAGATAGTGAGCAATTAAAAGGGAAAGGATGGTAAATACGAAGAAATAGGTAGGAAAATAGAAAGGAAAATGAATATGTAAATAAATTAATAAGGAAGGATGATTAATTTGGCATCTCTTTCTTTGTTTAGCAATGACTAATTAATCAAAATTAAGAGGGATTAAGATAAGGCCTGTTTTCTAAAATAAAAATATAATAATATTAATAATGCACTGAACCTGCAGAGGAGACAATATTAGGTTCAATTCTCTAGCAATAATGGGAATATCATCCGATATTGGTAAAGCTAAAACAGATGTAATTTAAAATGTAAGAAAGTATAAATATTAAGTTCAACTCCCCAGCAATTTTTGGAATATCATCAGATATTGGTAAAGCTAAAACAGATGTAATATAAAATGAGAAAGTATAAGTAAAAATGTTTAATAATAATAAATTATAAAAACTTATAAAAATAAATAAACATATATGCATTTTTAGTGTATATATATATTTAATATATATTAGTTGACTCCAAAGGGAGACATGGTCTAAATTGTATATATAGTCAAGGCAGGCATGCAAGGCATGCAGCAATTAATTTAGCTATTAGCCGTTCTCTTACCAGGGCCCGAATACCAAACATCCTGGAGCCTACAAATTTATCATTAGATGATAGCTTAAGACCAGATGGCTTAACTTCCGTGCCTTGGTCTTTAGGGAAATCCTTAATTTGGGACTTCACATGCGTATCTTCTTTCCCAAAAAATTTAAATTCTAATCCGGTTGATATAGCCGAGAAAAAAAAACAATGAAATATTCCAAATTCACAAATTATATTTTTACACCGATCGTAATCTCTTCCCTTGGACATATGCCAAGCGGAACTTTAAAGTTCTTAAAAAATATAGGGGATAAGACAAGAGCCCTTACATCAGAACCAAAAGAATTCTATTTTTTAAAACAAAACTTTCAAATCACTATTTTAAAATATAATTACTCATGTTTTTTGGAAACTTGTAGTCCCACCTTCGTTTTTATATAATATTGTTTTATTTTATTTTATATTTGATATGTTAATTTTAATATTAATTTTATTTCTATATATATTTTTAATTTAAAAATAAATGACATTACTTTTTACTAACTTATTGTTGGTAGAATTTTAAACTTTGTGATCTTTGGAATATTTATTTTGCTCATAAGAGCCATCTTTTGCAATGATAGATTAACCAAAATTTGTTCAGCTTTTAAGAGGTTAAGATAGGGTCTGTTTTCTAAAATAAAAGCAAATTATAAATAATTTCAATGCACTGAACGTGCATAGGAGTCAACATTAGGATCAACTCTCTAGGAATTGTGGGATTATCTTCAGATATTTGTAAAGCTAAAAAAGATGTTGTTGCATTTTTGCGTTAGTAAAAAAATGAATTATTCAAATTGTAAACAAGAATAATGTTTTATTAAAATTATTAAGTTACTAGTTGATAACCCGTCAAAAATGACGGGGATGAGAATTTTATTCGTTCTTTTACGATAATTATTTTTACCCCTCCCCCTCCTCCTTCAGGCCAATTCCAACCCATTAAGACTAAGAGAGAGGAATTGTCTTTTTTATTCAATGATTGATGAATAATATATTTTACCTTTATTTGATGATGGAGGAATCAGACATTTTCCTTTTTATGAGATGTGATTTCGAAATTTATATTTTAAATTACAAAAATGAAACAATATCTCTTATTAGCACCCTAAATACTAACATTATTTACCAGAGCTCCTGTTAGTCAGAATTACTGTTCACTCCCCACCGCGTGAAGGTAGGAGATGGATTTTAGGGGAGCAAAGAAATGAAAAAAAGAATGAAAGTCAGAAGGAAGAAATAGAAAAAAAGAGACAAAGATATGAATTATAAGAAAATATAATAAATATTTATACTTCAAGAGTTGATGATTATCGGGTTACAACACATATGCATTTGTAGCCATATAAAAAATATAATATAATAAATTTTATAATATAGAAAATTTTACCTAAAAAAGGAGATTTCAATCTCTTTTCTTTGCTCAAGGTGGTTTCGTTTTTGAAGATGATGTTGTGATTTCCTTGCTCGTAGTTTGTCGTAAATAACTTGAAATAAAACGTGTAAATTGAAATTATAAAATAGAATATACTGTTGTTGGTGAGGAAGATGGTTTAGCGATGGTGAAGAAGTTCTCTTTTCTTTGCTCAAGGTGGTTTCGTTTTTGAAGATGATGTTGTGATTTCCTTGCTCGTAGTTTGCCGTAAATAACCTGAAATAAAACGTGTAAATTGAAATTAAATAGAATATACTGTTGTTGGTGAGGAAGATGGTTTAGCGATGGTGAAGAAGTTCTCTTTTCTTTGCTCAAGTTGGTTTCGTTTTTGAAGATGATGTAAAGTTGGTGATTTGATGGTGAATAACAAAGTTGGTGACTTTTTTAAATTTCTTACAAATTATGAATTTAAGATTTCATTATATACGATATTTTGTGTGAATGTTTTATCATTTTTTTAAATTTTTCCTTGTAATTCTGATGGCAAAATCATAATTTTCATATTATTTTGAGATTTACATCTAGTAAGAGCCACATATAGTTGTCCATGGGCAAAAACGGGCTCAGGGAGGAATAAGCCTACATGATCAAAAGTTTGTCCTTGACTTTTATTTATTGTAATCACAAAAGCGGGAATTATAGGAAACTGTCGTCTTTTTAAAGTAAATGGTAATTGAGAGTCACTTGGAGCTAGATCTATTCGTGGGAGAAAAACTCGATTACCCTTATTATTGCCTGTCAATACCTCAGCGTCGATAAAATTACTATGTAAATGTCGTATGATTAAACGGGTACCATTACAAAGTCCTTTCTTTGGGCTCAAGTTGCGTAATAGCATAACAATTGTACCAACCTTAAGTGTTAGCTTGTGAGGTGGCATACCGGATGGAGTTTGTGAATGCAAAAATTCTAGTGGAAAATTCATTATATCATCCTTATTATCGCTTTCAATGGAATCTGCACTATAATAATGTTTGATAGGGCCTGAAATTATATTAATGATATCGTTGTTGAGGGTTAGTGCAATTTCATTTTTGGTGGTTAATATTATTTTAGTAGAAAGACTATCTATATCAGCAATTTCTATAGAATTACCATTTACACATTTTATTAATGAATCATTTTCAAGCAAATAAGATGGGATTTCAACACTATTTGTAGGAAGATCAGAATTGCTGCGTGATAGCCCATCTCCAATTTTAAGTAACCAAGCATTGTAATCAACTTGATCTGATGAAATACGCATATTATCAATCAAATGTATTATTTTAAAATGACTCTATAAATATGAACTTTTTATACAGGACTCTATAATATCGACTTTGGAGCCTTTAAGCACTACTGGTAAAGTCTGTCTAAAATCACCACCTAATAAAATTACATTTCCGCCAAATGGGTGGGAATTTTTCATAATGTCTTTAAGTAATCGGTCAATGCATCGCAAAGCGTGTTTAGTCATCATTGTGGCCTCATCAATAATAATCAATTTGCTATTTTTAATATCTAGAGCTAGCGAACTATGTAAATTCATATGGGATGTAGAAGTTTCAAAGATAGGCACAGGTAATTTAAATCCGCTATGGATGGTTCTTCCCCCCTTTAAAAGAATAGAGGATATGCCGGTGGTTGCAAAAGGCAATACAATTTGATTTTTTGCTCTTATATAATACATTAAGGTATTGTAAAGATACGTTTTACCTGAACCTCCAGGGTTATCCACGAAGAAATATCTTTCTGGAATATTTTCTAATTCAATCGCTTGTATAATTAAATCAAAAGCATATTTTTGTAATCGGTTTAATTTAGATATAAGCTCGATTGAATCGGCAGCTTCAACATGAGCATCATAATGTTGTTTTGGGGGGATTTTTGTAGGTGAAGGAAGATCAAAACTTTGACAGCATAAACCATGATCAAGAAAAACGTTTTCAATGTCCATTAAAGCCATGTTTATTGCAATTACTTCTGAATATTGACGCAAATAATCTTTAATCATCATAAATCTGAACCTATTCCATAGATATGCAGGATTTTCAGGCTGACAAAAAATGCAGATAAAGACAAAAGTACTCCGAAGTTGTGACGGCATTTGATATATTGATCCCTCTTCTAAGCATGATTCCCACTCTTTATCATCTGATAACAAATTTCTTTTAATAGCTGCCTCTTTAAAAGTACTCATTAAAATTCCATTAATAATTTTTAAATAATCAAAACTTGTAGCCCCGCAAACATGAAGTAATAATAATCGAAGGAAGAATCGTTCACCAGAATTAGGATGAACGGAATACATTCTTGAAATTACATTTAATCGTTTTTTTCTTAGTTTCCAATGGTAATTTGTAAACACATAATGATAAGGTATTTCCCCATAAAGATATTGTCTAGCATTTAGATCTGTCTTATTTAACTCAAACCATGCCGTTAAAGTAGTATGTTTATTTTCTGATCTCAATAAAGCATCTCTTTCATGTCCAGCAGTGATATATACTGGCTGTTGTAAAGGTAAATGAATTCCTAAGCGAATAACAGCGTGCGAGCGGTCATGCATATTATTTTCTAATAACCTCCACATTGATTCACATGCACTCACATATCGCGCATTTAAATGTGATTTAATTTCGTCATGAATATTTATATTTGAAGCAACATTAATGTCAACATTAGTACAGTCATAGCCCTTATAAATATACTTAAAGATATATTTTACCGATTTAATAGATGTACAAATTTCCACGTTAATATGAGCATTGAATTTTAACATTAGATATCGATTATATGGAATAACATAACGATTATCCGTAGGTTTACCGGAAAGAATTGTAATACCATTATCTCGCCTTTTATGATATGGATACCCATCAATATTTGGTCTTGTTTCCATTTGAAAATCCTTCGGAAATTTTTTGGTACATATGCCATTTTCCATGCAAGGCGATTTGGGGTTAAATATCCCGCAAGGACCGTGTATCATAAAATGGGTAACAATCTGAAAAAGTTTAGGATCGAGAATTTTATCTGGCATTTCGGCACAAACAAATTTATCTATAGCTTGAGATGTTTCAATTTTGCTATCATCGTTTAAAATAATAAGTATATGGGCATGAGGCAAACCTCTTTTTTGGAACTCGATTGTATATATAAAAGCCATAGATTTACCAAATAAATTTTTTTTATTTATATCGAACAATAATTCATTTAATTTCAATTTAAAAACACGGGCTATTAAATCTGGTCTATCTGTAGGACTTTGCCCGGGATTTAGATTTTCCTTAATTTCACGCCAATTAGGATTGCATGTAAAAGTAATAAACAAATCAGGTTTGCCAAATTTGAGCACAATGGCCATTGCATCGTGATAGCGTTCTCGCATATTTCTTTGAGAACCTTGAAAAGATGATGGTAATATTACTGCTTTGCCGGGAATTATATTGTTTGACTTTGTTTCCAAGTAGTCCATTAATCCAGAATATTCATCTACTCGTAATTTTGGCTGATTTTGTCTAATAAAATTTAAATTATTCGCCTCGACCTGTAAATAGGAATCAACAATATATTGTTGTGATAATTTCCCAGCAAAAAGGATTGGGTTGAATTCATTTTCACGAATTCCTAATCTAAATATTTTAAACTGTAGTAGTGAGATATTTGCCCTTGTACGACCTGTATCTTCACCCTTTAAATCTGGTTTCCAACCAGGGTCACCAAAAGGAAATAATAGAGGATATACCATTGGATCAAGATTAGGGCTTAATATATTTATCAGATCACTACCATCAACTCGAGGATAGACCTTGATATCCCGTTTAAATGGGGGTTCACCATCATCATTTGTAAAAATCATAGCTACTTCATCTATATTAGGAATGTTATATCTTCGCTTGTCACTTGAGCGATCTGCACGAAAAATCATATTGATTTTTTGAACTGGAGGATTTTCTTGAATAGCCCTATTTTTTTCTTCTTTCTCAATTTCTCCCAAGGTTTTAAAACTAATAGAAAATGGGTTATTCTGTCTTATTAAAATATCTAATCTTTTTAAGAGATCCTCATTGCAACCAGAATTTTCTTTCATGTGTAACCTGCCATTAACAGCCTGGGTGGTCTCAAGGACATATAGTTGTGCAAATTTAGGAGGCATCCCAGTGGAAGGATATAAATGAGATGTTCGGTGATAAATTTGCCCATGAACTCTAAAACAATATGGGCCTGGGTTTAAACTATTAGAAATCTGTGCTCCCATGGATGCGAACGCAAGTGAACTATTATAAGATCTTATATATTTCATAAAGTTTGAATGAAATTCATTGTTAGGATTAGATAAAAGGTCTTGTAAAAAAGGAATATATCGGATTGATGGTATCTTAACTTTCCCCTTATGACAGCAATTCTTAAATTTGCCTATGTGGGTTTTTCCAATAAAAAATTTAGAGAATCGCAATAATCGCACTTAGTGTTGAGTAATCCACAATAATGTTCTTGTACTAATGATTGTTGTGCAGAAATATTTATCTAAAATAAATTTGAGGCCTGCTAAAAATTATAATTTAATATTTTTGTGATTATTCAGAGACCTGCAGACCCGGTGTAATTGTAAAATCAATACCATCAAAAATCAATACGTTATTGATTTTTATAAATCTTTGATTCGACATTTATATATGAATCACAAAATTTTATAAACTCAATCAATAAGGTCCATTTAATTTATTTGAATTCATAATATCATTTATAAAACTTTGAATCAACAATTATATAGCACTTCACAAATTACAAATAATGAGTAAACAAATATAAAATATATAGGATATTGTAAAATAAATAAATTCCCTGATAAATTATATAAAAGAATAGAAAATCATATTTATCATTTTAATATATTTAAAACTATTAAATCTATTTTAAATAAAATTTTTACAAATCGAAAATGGCGGCCAATATTTATAAAGCGATGAAAAAATATATAATAAATAAATATTTTATAATTTTAATGGTCGCCAATATATTTGAAGCGATGCAAACATCTTAAAAATCTATACGGTATTGATTCTACAATAGCAATATATCACTACGGTATTGAATCTATAATGATATCAATACGGTATTGAAGTTACAATGGGTATTGATTTCACAATCAATACACCGGCTCTGATGTAAACATATGCCAGGCTTATAATAATTTTTTCTAAAATATTCCATGGGTAATTACGATTATATACTTATTTTATCTTATATTTTGCCCGTCAAGATGATAGTGAAATAAGAATTTTCTTTTTTATTAGTTGATGAAATATATTTTTTATTGTGGACATAAATTAAAATTAATAACCATATACTTCATAAATAAATAATAAATTATGAATAACCCCTGATGATGGATAAATCAAAAATTTTCTTATCTATCTTATGAGATGTGATTCAGAAATTTATATTTATTAAAATATTTGTTATACATAAATTAAAATTTTTAACTTGGTTTGTTTTTATTGATTTGGGTAGATTAAGATTTTGGTGAATAGTAGATTTTGGTAGTGTCTAATTTAAAAAAATTTATTTGTTAACATAAATTAAAATTTTTAACTTCGTTTGTTTTTATTGATTTGGGTAGATTAAGATTCTGTTGAATGAATGGTACATTTTGGTAATATGATTCGTGGAATTTAATTTAAAAAAATTAATTTATTAAGATAAATTAAAATTTTTAACTTGGTTTATTTTGATTGATTTTGGTAGATTAAGATTCTGCTGAATGGTACATTTTGGTAATATATATCGTGGAATCTAATTTTAAAAAATCTATTTGATAACATAAATTAAATTTTTTAACTTCGTTTGTTTTTATTGATTTGGGTAGATTAAGAGTCCGTTGAATGGCACATTTCGGCAATATGATCCGTGGAATCTAATTTAAATAAATTTATTTATTGTCATAAATTAAAATTTTTAACTTGATTTGTTTTTATTGATATAGGATCACTGAAAAAATTATACTTAGATATTGCACCAAAGGTATCTTGTGTAGGAATCTAAAAAAAATAATAAAATAGATTTTAATGGCCCACAGTAATGTTCAACTTGTTCTTGATTTTCAGTATCTTCAAGATGATTGGATGTTGAAGCAAATTGTTTATTTCCAGTATCTTCAAGATGGTTGGATGTTGTAGGAATAAGACTTTGCTCGTTCCTTTTCTTGATACGACAAAGTGCCTGTCTCTTTCTAGCTTTCTCCTTATGTTGATTTATTATTAAAATTTAAAAATATAAGAATTACTCAATTTTATAAAAATAAGTTTAGTTTAAAATATTTATTATTGTGGACATAAAATAAAATTACTAAATATATACTTCATAAACATATTTATAAAAAATAATGGAAAATATTAGAATAGCCCCTCACCTAATAAATATATATTTCGGAATCACATCTTAAAAATATAAAATTTACTCTTGTTGAAGCAATAATGCCTTCTTTAGATTTTGGTAGTATGAAACGTTCCATTGTTTGGTTTTGTTGAATGGTATCTTGTGTAGGAATCTAAAAAAAAATAATAAAATAGATTTTAATGGCCCACAGTAATGTTCAACTTGTTCTTGATTTTCAGTATCTTCAAGATTAAGATGTGTAAATTGAAAGTATATGGTTTTGCTCGATGTGGTGTCTGTTAAAAAATATAATTATTTACTGATGATTGAAGGTTTTGCTCGATGTTGTGTCTGTTAAAAAAAATATCAATTATTGTAATTATTATATTATTATATGTTTTGTAATTGTTTTTTGTATTAAAATTCTTTTTTTGAAAATGGCGGTTCGATTTGGTTTATGATGCGTGTTTGATATGTTTAAGCTATGATGATTTTTATTGAATATATATATTATAGATTTGAATTCCTTAGCTCTTGTAGGATTATCTGCAAACATTTTTTTCATACTAATGTTCCTTCCTGCCTATTGCCTCAAAATACTTCTGAAATGCTTTCCATGATTTATATGAGATTAAATCCATTTTGCTAATATGATCTAAATTGGCTTAAAATTGCTATGATAGATAGATAGATAAATTATAGATATATAGAAAGAACAATATATTTGACATCAATTAAGACAAAATATTTACATTTCAACTTAGAAATATAATGCTATTTAAAATAAAATATAATTTTATAGATGGCGCTAAATATCATGGAGATTAAAACTACAATTTAACATAACTTAAATACTTCCGAATTTGTTAATATTAATTAAATATTATTAAGAATCACTCTCTATTTAAGTAGGACAAACGTCCAATAATTAATAAAGAAGTTGAATATTACTAATATATTAAAAAAATTATAATTGACTATTATCAGGTAAAATAATTGACTATATAATGTCACAGTTGTGACTGTGACTTTGATCAAATTTGCTATAATCATTTTGATTGGACAAATAATATTTAAAAGAAAACTATTGGCTAAATTTGATTGACATTTTTTGAGGATTATATATATAGATTATTTAGGTCCCCGTCTTTTAAAATGAGAAAAAAACGCGTATTTTAGATTTTTTCATACTATAAGAGTTTTAACAAGTGGGATGATAAACCTTTTTATTTTTCGCTTGGAAAATTTTTTAATATATACTTTTAAAAATATAATTTTTAAATTTTAATTTTTATATTAATTTTCTTTTTCTTTTATTTTGATTATGTTTTTCACTTTGTATTTGATTATAGTTATTTATTTAATAAAAATTTAGAATCATATTTTAGTATATATTTTTATTTTATATTTAGGTTCTTAAGTTCACAATCCAAAACCTCCAATTGTGACAATGGTTGTAATCTAAAATGTAATTTTATCTTTTTTTAAAAAAATTATTTACTTACTTTAAAAAAAAATAATATATACTTATTTTATCCAGTTTTTTTAAAAAAAATAAATAAATACGTACTGATGACATGATGTAGCTATGACATGACGTAGCGAGACATGACATCACGATGACGTAGTGAGGACATCGGAAAATTATAATATAGATATATATATATATAAATAACTTTATTTTGTATGTGCGAAAAATGCAGGAGTTACAAAATATTACTATAATATAATAGGACGATTTATATTTTTAAATTTGAACATAAATGAATAAAAATATAAATCCTGTGTTATTCTTTTTTCATAAGCCATTAATACTATATTTTGTTTACGTTGATCTTTCATTGATTCTCTAGTGTTCGATAGAACTTTTTAGTGTAAAGAATGAACCCTCACAAGAAGCTGTTTACCCCAATGATGATGGCTGCTGAATAGAATTTATACAATTCTTTAAATGTAAGATGATATTTTTTTTATTCATAATATTTAGGATATTTTCAAAATTATATGTTTCTGCAGTTAATAATCCTTTTGTTATTTCATGATGTAACGTTTCCATATTTAAGTTTGATAATAATTATAACGGGGCCAATTTATTTGATATAAAATAATCAGGGTCGAGTAGTGACAATGCAATAAAATATGATAGAAGATTATAATTTTCTTGTGTAAATCTCTTTATAAAACGATCAACAAAGTAATCAATATTTTCATAATAATTCTTTTTTAAAGAACTCCAATTGGAGTCTTTCACAATCAAATTGTAATATAATCATGACTAAAAAACTTAAAAATTTGTAAGCATTTTATATACCCGTTATGATTTTTGGAGGATGAAATTAAATTTTGTTAAAAGTTTTTCAGCCCTAATAATCAAATCAAAAGAATTATCGCTTCTTTTATCATATTGATCGTGGAATCAATATAATTTTTACCATTAACTTTATTAGTATATATACTGACAGTAGATACTTATTTAAAGGATTTATTCAGTGGCGTCACTAGGGGGGGGGGCGCAGGGGCTCAAGCCCCCTGAAAAATTTGAATAGCCCCCTGAAGCAAAAAAAATTTTTTTTTTAATGGTTCCTTAATATCCCCTTAAACTAAAAAGAACTTTTTTTGATTGTTCCCTGTTTATTATAATTCTATTAAGTAATATATAGATTTAATTTTATTATTTAAAAATTAATAAGACTATCTAAATTTTATTAGATTAGATTAATACATATAAATTATATTTTCACTATGTCAGCTTGCAATCAAATTCTTTGTTAAAAATAAAATATCAATACCATGCATAATGTTTAAATATCAATTTAGCATTAACAGTTGAAGTTTAATTGATTTTTATTAATTAAATTATTATATAACCTTAATTAAATAAATATAAAGATTTATTAATTGAAAATTAACAAATTTAATATTGTAAGCCGAGTTTAAAATCACTATTTAAATAAAATGACTTTGCGATTTAAAAATTTAAGCATTAAAGACTTTATGAAAAAAACTAAAGATAAAAGTAGCAATAATCTTGAGGACCAAAGAAGAGGACTCAATAATAAAGCTGGTGATGAACAAAGTATATTTTATACAGTTTTTAAAATTCAAACTTTGATTTAGTTGAAAGACGATTAAAATATAGTTTTAAAAGATATAAATATTGAAAACAAAAATGTTAAAAGAAAGAAAATAGGTAAATAAATTTATATATAAGTCTGTGTCCAAAATGTTTTGAAAAAAATAATAAAATTTTTACAAATTAATAACAAAACACTTTGGACATTTAAGTTTTAAAAAATAAAAATTTATTAGTTAATTATCTATTTTAATGGAAGGTTTCTTTTTCACTTGATCATAATTGAAGTTATATGTTTTTCTTATTTCCTCCCAAATTTGCCTAATTTCTATAGATTTTCTATTTAAGTCATTTTTCACCAGAGTATTAAACAATATTGATTTCTTTAGTTTTCAAGTTAAGCAAAAATTGCTTTGCAATATATTTTCACCTTTCAGGAGCAGGACACTAGAAATAGAAAATTTTTTTAAAATTTTTCTATTATAATCACATAAGGTAATGTCAAAATATTAGCTAAATAAAACATAGTAAATATTTTCTATAAAAATAGTCAATATCTTAAAAAATCATACACTATTATTCTTTTTACATTAATAAAGATAATATTGGCTAAATTGTTTACTCGATCATTCTTTCATAATTTGAGAATTATATATTTATATATTTATCCTAACTTAATAATAAACTATATTTTAATAAAAATGCTAAATAAATTTAGAATAGTTTGCTTATTTATATATATTTTTGAAAAATGGATACTATAATATGGAATATTACTTTTTATATATTATATTTACAAAAATAAATACACTGAAAAGAAATACATTTTAAAATTAATCTTATTTAGATTCATTGAATAATGAAGAAATTATTGTGAATGATAAATAATTTAACCTTATAATTTTTGAAACGCAATTTTAGGCGTTAGTATCTGCTAGTAAATATATCGTTTAATATTTATTTTATAAATTTTTTTTTCATATCCAAAATTAGCTAAAAGACATGGTGCTTATAAAAAAATTCTTTTTGAGATAGGAAAAAATCAGAAAAAAGCAGTAAATGCTTTCTTTTGATTTGACCAAAGTTTCTGAAAAATTTTAAAAATATTTGAATACATTGACAATACAATAATATATAAGATCTTAATTGCTTTCATCATATCACTATGGTACTTATTTTCTAGCTCCCAAATTATTTATTTCTAATTTGGCACACTTAAATTGTAAATAACTCAAGGCTTTAATATATTTGCATAATATCTTCCAAACATAATTTCTTCCAAGATTTTAGGTGTTTTTGCTTTATCAATATATCTAACATACTAGATTTTGATATGAGTTAACATCGTGTATGTCATGGCTATGACTGCAAATTAACCAGCATCTATTATTTGTGTGGCTATGTAATTTAAGATTATTACTAAAGCTGCTGAGAGCATATGATTGCATAATTAAGATGAGCAACAATGATCAACTGTCCAGTAGTTTATATAGGATTAAAAATGGAATATAATCTTTTAGAAATTTAATATCTCAATAATTTTCTCGATTACTTATCTAGCTTCCATCATGTCATCTAAGAGGAAGCTCTAACCACCATATAGTTTTATGATTTGGATTGGTCGTTTATATTCTCTTCTTCAAGAATTGTTGATTTGGTTAGGCCTATAAATTTTTCCTTATTAGTCCATTCTATAAAACTTTGTCTAAATGGTAAGAGAGAGTTATATTAGTTTCATGACCTTTTGTTAATGTTAGTTGCTTAGAATTATATTGCCTTATGGGGTTTTTAAAAACATTAACAATTGAGGCATATGTATGAATTAATTAATCGGTTTTATCACTTGTAATTCTTTAGACGCGAAATTTTTTATATCAGCAATTTAAAATACTTTATACTGTAGTAAATCGATTTTGTATTGAAAAATTTGTAGAAATGTATTGTTTTAATTATTTATATTCTAGTTTTAATTATTTATATTCTAGTCTTAATTATTTATATTCTAGTCTTAATGATATTTATATTCAAGTCTTAATGATATTTATATTCAAGTCTTAATGATATTTATATTCAAGTCTTAATGATATTTATATTCTAGTTTAAATGATCAATATTCTAGTCTTAATTATTTATATTCTAGTTTATTTTGTACGTATAATATAATAAAAAACAAAATATGAAAATAAAAATAATCCTTCAAGAGTTTAGTAATTTTTAAAAATATATTAATATATAACCCGGCCCATAAAATTTTTTTAGTTGAGCCCCCTGAGATTGTAAAGACTAGCGACGCCCCTGGATCTATTGTTTATTAATATCTCATAATGGCTAATATAACGTAATTTATATTAACGCATTGAGATAAAAAACCAGAAGCTTTGAATAAATCATGAGTGGAAATCTCTGAGTTAAGAGTTCTCATCAATAGCCTCTAAAATGTCATAAAAAATTATACAATGCATTAGATAAATTAAAAAAAATTAGAAATGATAACAATATTATACCAATTTTGAACTACAAAATGCAGCTTGTGGTTATTTTGTTA